GCTATATAAATCCAGCCATTTATAGTTGCTATATTAAATATTATGGGCAAAAATCAAATGTTTTGTTAGTGAACTACAATTCCATGAGAGTTATTTCAACAATAACAAGTAATGCAGGTTTAACATAGCTATTTATTTACAATAACAGAATAAATCAGTCAGTTTTTACAAAATATTATATTTCAGAGTCAGTCAGAGTCTTGTGTCATGTGTTTACACTGGTGAAAAAAGCTTATACCTATATTCTATTGACAGAGGTAGTTTTTTTTTTTCTATTTTATATCAGTTTATAAAATAAGACAGGCTTTTATAAAATGACAGAGGACCACACCCATCTAAAGTCCAAACAGCCCAGAAAATATTGATGCAGTTGAGCAACATCTTTACGAGGCACTTGTAAAGCAATGTAGGTGGTTAAAATGTTTATTGCCACCACACAAAATCAAATGAAAGGGTGCTAATTTGTGATGAAAATCATTTGAAATATAAAAATACAGCATGCTTTTTCATATCTGAAGACTTCACTATTTAACACACAGTCAGTAGATACCATATCCACAATATGGGGAAAAAAAACTGACAAAAACGTTTCTCTCACAAACTGTTGCCAAATCGCACAAAATACTAACAATTAGTTTCATTTTCTTGCTGAAAAGGTTGCCCGTCTTCTCTTGTTAAAGCCAGATATAAACTTCCATCTGTGTCTGTAAATACTTCGGGTTGTCTGTGGAACTGCAGCCAACCTGAACAAATAGAATAAATATCGTTAATCAAATAATGATCATGTCTGACATTCTGACAAGTGAAAGGTATTTTCAAACTCAATCAGGCGGATCCTCGATTATTGGCTCCATCTTATCAGGACACAGATGTTGTTTTTGACAGCATAGAGGCTTCTTTCGTGCTTGTGTGTGTTACTTACAAGAGGCTTGCTCAGGCTCTGGATTAGGCTTCATACATACAGGAGGGAATTCTCCAAACATTGCAACCATCACCTGAACAAGGCTCATTAGGTCACACTCCCCCTAATAATAGAAGGAAAGGGTCACTTTCATGCGCTCTGGCTGTAGAGTTATGCAACCACATTGTGTCAGTGCCAGCAAAATCAACCCCTAACCCACATGCAGCTTTGTCGAAAACAAATATTGCTTCAATTCTCACATTCTTCCACTCTCGCAGGTAAGGCAGCATGACTTCACCATTGCTGGAGATATACTTTCCGCTGAGGATCATCATCTGTTGTGTGGGTCTGATATAGCAGATGGGAGCAGTTTGGGGGTAGGTTTCCTCAATCCACAGGCAAATGGGAATGTTATATGTCATATCTTGTATAATGGCAAAGAGAAAGATATCAAAATCAGAGAGATTCTTAACCTTTCATATTTTTTGTTTGAAGTTATTCTGTTATGAACGAGAAGAAAAAGGAATGCGAATGTTATTACTGTTAATCGTGGCAGGAATGGTTCCGGTTAAGCTCATCAAGTTCTTTGTAGTTCCATCATTGTAAACTGTACAAAACACAGCAAAGGCAGTTACTGTTACAATGCAACGTTCCTTTTTCCACCGAGTTTACAAAGTTCAGCAGCATTGGACTGTGAACCTTACCATATTTATCCATTACGGGCACAAGGTTTCTGAAGTAAGTTAATGCCACGTTTATTTCATGAGCCACACACTTCCGAAGATATATCTTCAAAATATAGAATAACAAAAATTAAAAGGAGAATAGCCAAAAAACAAACAAACACTGGAGAAATCTGTACATGAAACTACAGCCGCTGATCCAGCGATAAATGAAACATTCCTTACCTTAGGAAGCATTTTCTTAATCGTATCTTCGCTGTATGGCATGATTAAAGTTTCTCTGAGAAGAAAATGCCACCTTTTTTTTTTCAATCCGTAACACTCTATGACTGTGTCAGACCTGCGAATGTCTGCCTGTCATGGCTTTTCGAGAACTTCTTATCTTTTATGACCCTTGAAAGCCAGCTATAAAAACATGAAGTGACTTGCATCATGGGTCACTGTTAGATCAATCTGCTATCATGTGTCTTGCTTTTCGCTTCCTGATTTAGTGATGACACTAACTTATCACTGTCAAATAAATCATTTCATTCATACCATATGGGTGACTCTGTGGCACTAATATAAATAACAGTCAACTCCAGTAGTGACAGAATAGAAATAAGTTCCAAATGCTTTGCTTTAGTTGAGCTAATTTAATATTATAGATACCATTTACTCATGTAAAACTGGGAAATACGTAATACACTTCAGTGATTTTCTTATACTATACAATGTTCCTTGTTTAGTCCTTCCTTCTTTTTCAGATGCTGGAGGTGACTGAAATACACA